AACCTAGAGGACGCAGTGTCTCGTTCCCTACTCAGGGAACCATGGTTACATAAGTAACCTGAGACGTTCCCTTTCATGGGAACTTCAAACTGCGTCCTCTAGGGGTCGCTATGGGAAACCTAGAGGACGCAGTGTCTCGTTCCCTACTCAGGGAACCATGGTTACATAAGTAACCTGAGACGATATTTGTAAGAAACAAATCAATCAAGACGTTTTAACTTTAAACTGTTGCTTCCAGATAAAATACGAGTCCATAATCCATAATAACGCTTCCTCCTGTGAAAAAGTGTTCTGGTCTGAATCAGGAGAGAAATCTGCACAGATCAAGCACAGTTTAAACAGCTCTAAACAAATATGTGGCTGGATTTTGATGTGAGAGACGCTGGATTTGTTTCAGCTTTTGTCTTCTCCAGATGTTAACTGATGGACTGGAGTGCTATGGATTACTTGTGGATTATTGTGATGTTTTTATCAGCTGTTTGGACTCTCATTCTGACGGCACCCATTCACTGCAGAGCATCCATTGCTGAGACACTCATGCAATGCTACATTTCTCCAAATCTGATGAAGAATCAAACTCATCCTAATCTTGGATGATTTGAGGGGGAGGACATTTTCAGTACATTTTCATTTTTGGGTGAACTGTTCCTTTAATGATTTCACAATTCTGTTAGTACTGTTGAGTTAGTTCAGAGTTCAACATGACTAAACATCTGCAAGCCATTAAACCAAATAAATTCTATAGCTTATGAGATCCATTTATGAAACAATAATGGAACTGTAAGTCTTATATAATTCCATTACACTCTTAAAAATAAAAGGTTCTTTATTGACATCGATGGTTCTGTGAAGAACCTTTAACATCCATTGAACCTTTCCATTCCACAAAAGGTTTTTTATAGTGTAAAAGTGTTCTTTAGATTATTAAAATGATTATGTTCACTGGAAGGTTCTTTGGGGAACCAGAAATGGAACCTTTTATTTAGGTTATTGGAACCTTTACTTTTAAGAGTGTTTTTTTTATTTTTTGGAAAACAGAAAGGCTTCTTGATTCCCAACCCTAACCAGGCACAAAACTCCACATGATCTCCGCATCAGGGTCTGTTTACATCCACAGAACATCTCACAACAACACAGCAGAACACTAAAGGCATGATATGAGAGAGAAGAAAGTGTCAGGAAACACTTTAAACAGTGAAGGGCAGCAGTGGTAGAGCTCAACTAGTCAGTCCATTGCTTCAAAGTCACACCTGAAGAGTAAAAAACAAAACCTAAAACACCCAAATCACAGATTTGACTAGAAAACAGTGAACACAAAAACAAGGCCGGAATAATTCAGAACCAACCTGCACTTCTACTGGCTTGAGTAGAATTTTTTTTTTTAAGAAATTAATACTTTAATTCATCAAGGATGCATTCAATTGATCAAAAGTGACCGTAAAGACATGTATTTATGTTACAAAAAATTATATTTCAAATAAATGCTGTTCTTTTGAACTTTCTATTCATCAAAGAATGCTGAAAAAAAAAATGTATCACCGTTTCCACAAAAATATTGTGCAGCACAACTGTTTTCAACATTGATAATAATCAGAAATGTTTCTTGAGCAGCAAATCAGCATATTAGAATGATTTCTGAAGATCATGTGACACTGAAGACTGGAGTAATGATGCTGAAAATTCAGCTTTGATCACAGAAATAAATTACAGTTTAAAAATATATTAAATCACAAAACAGTTCTTTTAAATTGAAATAATATTTCACAATTTTTACTGTATTTTTGATCACATAAATGCAGCCTTGGTGAGCAGAAGAGACATCTTTAAAAAAACGTTGTGTACCAGGTTTTGGATCTTATCGTAAAGAAATTCAATCTGATGAAATTTAACTACGGTCTTTTTCCGTCACTGTGATATAACAGCTGTGATGTGTTATATTACAGAAAATTCACAGGAATTGATTCACACGATACTGATCATTTAAATAAAACGATTTCAAACGGACAAATAAATTGTCCAGTGCAATGGAAAATAAGAACTGAGGTTTTTTCGGCTGACGCATTTTCAAGGTGTAACAACCTGCGGTTGAAAAAAGGGGAAGAGAGAGAGAAAGCAAGCTAAAAAGAGCGAAAGCTTCGGCCAACGTGCAGTTTCCTAAAGACCGTCATGCTTGGCTTCAGCGTCTCATCCAGACAACATCCACAAATAAAATCAGTGAGATATTTTCACAAGAACTAAGGTCATACAATTATGAAGTGCTTTCATGATCGTAATCGAGCCATCCCTAACAACAACTCATTTTCTGCATGTTTCTCACTCAGTCTTCCTCAGTTTGTCTTCTGTAGAGCTGCTTATAGCTGAATTGAACTCTTGATGAACTTTGCAGTGACTGAACAGAGCTGAATAATGTTTTTAGAGCTGCTTCACAGCAGAATTTGTCTCATATTTGACGTTTGCATCATTGATTTCTGTGAAGCTGCTTCCAAACACTCTGTATTGTTTAAAGCGATATACACTACCAGTCAAAAGTTTGAGCATTAAGATTTTTAATGTTTTTTAAAGGAGTCTCTTTTGCTCACCTAGCCTGCATTTATTTTATCAGAAATACAGAAAAAGCAGTTATATTGTGAAATAATTTTACTATTTAAAATAACTTCTTTCTATTGTAATATCCGTTAAAATGTAATTTATTCCTGTGGTGCAAAGCTGTATTTTCAGCATCATTACTCCAGTCTTCAGTGTCACATGATCCTTCAGAAATCATTCTGATATGCTGATTTGCTGCTCAAAAAACATTTATTATTATTACAATTATTATTATGTTAAAAACAGCTGAGTAGAATGTTCATCAAAGAATCCTGAAAAAATGTACTCAACTGTTTTAAATATGAAAGATAATAATAAATGTTTTATGAGCAGCAAATCAGTATACTGGAATGATTTCTGAAGATCATGTGACACTGAAGACTGGAGTAATGATGCTGAAAATTCAGCTTTGATCACAGAAATAAATTACAGTTTAAAAATATATTAAATCACAAAACAGTTCTTTTAAATTGAAATAATATTTCACAAAACGGTTCAACTTACTCACGGTTCGGTTTGTATCACGGTTTTAGAGTCACGGTTTCGGCACGGTTCGGTATGTGCTATGTTTAGGGAAAAAACTATTGTCAAATAAAAATAAAGAAAATAAGAACAAATAATCTAACTACAACAGCCACTTTTGATCAATTTAAAGCATCCTTGCTAAATAAAAGTATTAATTTCTATAATCCCGCCCCCCAATTATACTGACTCCAAGCTTTTAAATGGCCTGAAAATTCAGCTTTGATCACAGAAATAAATGACATTTTACAATATATTCACATAAAAACACTTATTTTAAAAAGTACAAATATTTCACAGTATTACTGCTTTTTTCTGTATTTTGGATCAAATAAATGCAGGCTTTGGAAGCAGAAGAGAATTTTTTTAAAAACCATTAAAAATCTTACTGTTCAAAAACTTTTGACTTGTATTGTGTATATATATATATTAGGGGTGCAACGGTTCAACTTACTCACGGTTCGGTTTGTATCACGGTTTTAGAGTCACGGTTTCGGCACGGTTCGGTATGTGCTATGTTTAGGGAAAAAACTATTGTCAAATAAAAATAAAGAAAATAAGAACAAATAATCTAACTATAACAGCACAAATAAATAAACAGTGAAAAAAGATACAAATAAAATAAACAGTGCTTTTCAGTTTTTTTAGGTAGGTCTAACTGATTTATTTGACTGTATAAATTAAAGATTAATCTTTATTAAAGTTACAAAAATTATTCAATCAAGAGCAGTGAGTGATTTCCGTGCTGTTGCTGTTTGATTAACATTAAGAAAGTGCTGTCACTTTAAGGGAACGCACTGATACTGTACGTTCAGCTTAGTTTAAACACAGATAGCAACGTGTGCTGTTCAGGTCTCACCTGCACTATCAACACGTGATGACGGCATATATGACAGTTATTCCAGCATGCAGCACTCGCATTGATTAAAGAGTGACTGGTTTGTCCAAATGTAACAATGTTGTCAGGCATTTTTACAACAAAAATCAATTTATGACATATTAAAAGACTAATTACTTTCACCCCAAATACTAATTAGTTGTAATTTTACATTTTTTAAATGTGACACTATCCTAGGTTTTGCCCATTTGCCACTCAGTAAGAATTTTTACTCATTTAAAACGCAATAAAAAATTTTATGCTCCCTTATTCTTTTATATATTTTAATATGTACACGTCAGAATAAGCATGTTGTTTGAATTTTTACATAAATATTGTGTGACACTGAATGACTGTAACATTATTTCAACCAAATTTTAACATTTTATTCTCCAAAAACTTATTTGAAACCTTAAAAGTTGACACTTTGCTTACATTTAATGTGCTTTCTATGGACATATACTCACTTTTGTAAATTTCTTTTGATGCGGACATCTTAACGTCTTTGACCCATATATATATATATATATATAAATAAAGGTGACTTGACTCTTCATCCCTCTTTTTTCCCCTCATCTCTTTTTTCTGCACTCTCAGAATCGCTCCATCTTCACCTCTCATGCACTGATCTCATTTTTGTCTCCGTTTCTCTCTCCCATGATAATCTCCTTCAGAGATCAGCCATGCCCTGAAGCTCAGACAGGAAGCACTGATGCTCAGACAGGAAGTGAGGCGGATTCAGGTTGCACTTACCCTGACCGATCTTTGTCGCCGGGTTCCTCGCATGGTTCCTCCTTCACACTCTCAGTGACGGGACTCTGCGCTGTCGGGACGCATTCTCTGGCCTCCTCTTTCGTATCGCTCTCCTCTTCATCAGCGTGGTTATCCTCCTCCTCATTTACACTGCTGATGTCCACTTTATCTTCACAAGGTGCCGTGGATTCTGCGTTCTCCTCCTGAGATCAAATAACACGTCATCTTTACCAATATGCTTTTGCGATTAATATTATTTGACCCTAATTAAACTCTGATTTAGCTACATTTGTAAATGCATCATTGTTTTTGTTTCAGCAGCTTGTTTTGGGTAAAAAAAGCATGCCTTATGAATATACATGAGGTCAGAGAACCCTGCTGAGAGACTAAATAAACAGCGGAAGATAGCGGCTGTGCTTCAAATGCAATAATAGTGTACTGCTTCCTGCACTGTATGTAGTGTATACTTGCTTACAGCAGCTTTGGGACTGTGAGAAAGTACTTAGTTACACTATAAAGTTGCTAGCAAAAAGTAGCTAACAACATGGTGACAATAAGTTTTAGATAATTATCAATTGAACCTACATAATAAAAAATAAAATAAAAATACTGTTACTGATTACATTAATAAAAAACAGCTAGTGATCACATGACATGAACACTAACTAAATACATTTTGTCCATCTATGCAGTCATTACACATGAAAATAGCTTGTGAGTGAAACACACACACACACACACACACACACACATATATATATATATATATATATAATACAAAAAGTAAATAAAAAAACAGTAAAGTTAATAGTCACTATTTTTAGTTAATTAATTAAAAGTATAAATAGTTAAAACAAGTGTAAATGAAATAGAAATGGAATATGGATACATTTATAAAATATAACATATACAGTGGGGCAAAAAAGTATTTAGTCAGCCACCAATTGTGCAAGTTCTCCCACTTAAAAAGATGAGAGAGGCCTGTAATTTTCATCATAGGTATACCTCAACTATGAGAGACAAAATGAGAAAAAAAAATCCAGAAAATCACATTGTAGGATTTTTAAAGAATT